GGGTATGTGGTCAAGGCAAAAATCATGATGATGATATGTGGATAACTGAATTTTGGGAAACTTAATGGAATCACCTAGAATAGCTCAGGAAATGGGATATTACTTCATTGTGTTGTGTGGTTTATATAGTTGAAACTTTAAATGTAGTTTTCAAAGAAGAATGGAGGGAAATATGAAGCTTGCTACAGTGGAGGACGCTGTGGAGTACTGCCTGTTCCTGATACCAGATGAACCAAGGGACCCGGAAGAACACAAAGAGGTTCTTGAAAAGTATATTGAGAGAATAATGACCCAGTTTGCACCTATGCTGGCTCCTTATATCTGGCAGAATCAGCCTTTCAATCTCAAATATAAACCTGGAAAAGGTAAGGAAGACTCTTTTACTTATTTGATTTGATATATGTGGCTTTTAATGTCATTCTGACAACAGTGATGTATAATAGTCCTTAGTTTATTCAGTGTTGTAAGATTTATATCCTGAACTTTTCAGATTAGTGATGCTTGCCTATATTCAGCTAAGCTCTTAATTTTTTTTTATTCATATTGATGAAAACTTTCTAATAGTCATTACCTTAGGAGCTAACATACATCAACATTATTCAACGCATGGCTATTCTTTTGAACTTTACTTTTCTGTGCCATAATGTATCTAGGTAACTAGTACTAAACCGATTTAGGCGTCTTTAGCTATAACATTACTCTGCATTCCTCTTTATTGATGATGTGTTTGGTAGGCTGCCTTGTTTCATGTAGTTGTTTTGGTGGGGATCTAAGAGTGGCTCTGCCTGGCTTATAACGAGAAATAATTGGGCTTTATGACCATTATTTGCCGCTCAGAAGCGTTTTGAGGTTCCTTCACTGTCTTCACTGTGTTGTTGGTTGTTGAGATCTGACCTCTGGCCAAATATGGCATTTTGTCCTATAATTACTTTAGCTTCACTAAAGAAATAAACGTGGATTGGTAACCAAGGCTCCACTCATGTAGTGACTTATGTGAGGTCTTGTTTCAGATCAGGAGTTCGGCATCTGATGATACCATTAATCTGGCTTTCAGTCTAGTGCTTCTCTGCTACCTTTTGGCTAACAGTTGCCAAACATCTTCCCTACTAAAATTTTATTGAATTCCTGTTCACTGAAATACATGTGATATTTATCGGTAAGAACACTGTCACATTAGTGCAGCACATCCAAAAACAACTCCTTATCTTTTTTCTAGAAAATAATTTTTACCCAGTGTTTTCTCATCTTGCTTAATGGCATTGCCATCTACCTAGTTATATCCAAACTAGTTAGAAATTGAAAATTATACTCAATCCTCACTTCACCATGTTCAGTCAGGACCTAAACCCTAGTGTGATAACTTCTAAAATGTGACTCATTCTCTACATCTGTTTGGCTGCAGTCTAGGCCTTCTTTATCTTTTCATTTGGAAGATTAGAATAGCCACCTAACTGACCTCTTTGGTTCTAGTGTATCCAGTTGCTCACGCTATTCAAACCTTTGAAAAACACAAATTTGATCATGGCATTCTCTTGCCTGATATCTTTGAACAGGTCCCCATTGCTTCTGGATGAAGTTCAAATTGAAGTTTAATATATAAAGTAAATAGAAATAGATACTCTAATTGGAGCTTCTCTAGTTTAAGAGACTTGGGGGATCTGGGGTGGGGAGAAGAGTTGGTTGGGCTCTTCTTCCCATTTTTTTTTGCCACAGCAGCTCTTGAGACACTCCACAATGCACTCGTTTGACCTTCCTTCTGTTAATGTTGGTATATTGCATTGATTGGTTTTCATGTCGAACCATCCTTTCATTTCAGGAATAAATCCCACAGGGTCATGGTCTACNCATTATAGATCTACTACATGGATTTTAAATTTCTTTTTGAATCATTTTGATAATTGTGTCTTCTTAGAAATTTGTCCATTATATCTAGGTTACCTAATTTCCTGGTGTGAAGTTACTTATTATGTTTATATTCCCTTAGTCCTTTAATTTTCTGTAGGGTCAGTAGTTATGTCCCTGCTTCCATTTCTAATCTTGTTAATTTGCCTTTTTTTTTCTTGGTCAAACCAGCTAAAGAGTTGTCAATGTTGTTGACTTTTTCAAAGAACCAACTTTTTCTGTTTCTATTTCATTAATTTGTACTCTAATTTGTATTATTTCCTTCCTTCTGTTTGCTTTAGATTTAATTTGCTCTTCTTTTTTTCTTTTTTTTTTTTAAAGTGGTGAAAAAGTTTTTTAGAAGAGATAGTATACTCCAAAGAATTAGGAGCAGGCCAAGCACAAAGAAAAAGCAGCTCAAGGCCTGGCAAAGACAATTATGAACAATAAAGTAAGACTTCCCTACCAGGTATTATGGATTATTATAAAGCTATAGTTTAATTGATACCAGTGGTGTTAGCATAATTTTAGGAACAGACCCTTTCATATTTTAGAACTTAATCTATAACAGAGGGAACATAGATCAGTGGGGAAAGGATGCAATAATTCTATCAGAAATGATAACACCTTCTATAGCAGAAGTTGGAAATGTATATGTGCATTTTTAGTGAGCACAATGATTAGGAGGTGCTATAGACATTTAATAGGAAGGGATCATGAATAGTAAACATCCTGCTACAATGGGACACCCAAAATGCCAAACATGCCCCTGCTTAGAAATCCTGAACTAGTCAGTAAATGATGCTGAAACAATTCATTATGCATATGGAAAAATTAAAATTATGTTCCTGCTATATACCATATACAAAAAACCAATTCCAGGTGGATTAAAGACCGAAATGTGAAAATTGTCAAAGTATTAAAAGCCACAGACCAGGAAAGATATTTGCAATGCATTTAACAAAGGATGTGTATCAGAGATTAATTGTATTGGGTTAGTACTAACAAAAACAATACCAGTGGCTTAAATAAGATACAAATTTATTTTTTCTCATGAAAATATTAGTCTAGAGGTAGGCATTAAAAAAGCTGATATGGTGGCTCCACTGATATCAAGGACTCAGTTTCTTCTATCATTCCCATCCTCAGTGACACTTCATGATCCAAGATGGCTCCTGTACCTTTAGCCACAGTTCTATGTTCTAGGCAGGAATTAGGAGAAGGGGGG